TACAAGCGATAAGCATCATTCTCCGCTCAAAGACGCTTTTGTCTAAAACCTGATAGCGCTTTTTTATCATCCCTCATCTGATTTCTGTTCGAAAATATCATTTTTGAACCCCGTTCCGTCTACACCTCTTTTTTGATAATGACAGCTATAAAAAATGCGCTGAGCCCCGAACTGCGGCCTCCCCGCACCACAATAGCAAACTGTTAGGTTATGAGCCCTTGAGTACGGGTAGGGCCTCTGAACAAACCTTGTGAGGCCTCCCGGCACCACATAGCCCCTGAACCCTATACCCTAAACCTCCCTCCCTAAACCCTAAACCCTAAACCCTAAACCCTACACCCTATAAACCCTAAACCCCAACCCCTATAAACCCTAAACCCTATAAACCCTAAACCCTATAAACCCTAAACCCTAAACCTCCCTTGTGCGGCCTCCCGGCACCATCCTTCACCTCCGGGGCGCTCGCGGCTGTCGGAGGCGCAGAGGCGCTCTGCGCGCTTGCCCAGCCTGGGATCTCAAAACGGCTTAAAGCCTAAGGGTCCATATACGTAAAGGGATCTATAAGGGTAGACTTAAGGGGCTCCTTTAAGGGATCTATAGGGTTTTATGGTTTAGGGTTGATGATATAAATCTTGCAACTACCTTAATGACCCTAAACTGTGGGAATTAATGATGGTATATTCCTTATTATGGGTCATGCAGGGTTTATATCATCAACCGTATGGGTTCCTTTAAAGAGGTCGATAAGGGTTGCTGTAAGGGATCCATGAGGGTACTCTCATATGGTTCTTAAACCAGCTTAAAGCCTATGAGGGCCCAAAAAACCATATAGTATATATTTCTTTAAAGGGATCCTCAAAGGGTTCTATATTATAGAGATGTATGAGATTGATGTTAGGATTCTATGATATAGGGGCCTTAGTTAAAAAAAAAGTCTAAACCCTAGCCCAAACCCTAAACTGAACCCTTGGGCCCTTAAAAGGGCTAAAACCCTAAAGGTCCATGTGCCTGTTTATACTTTGGCTTTAAAGTAGTCCCTAATATAGGTCCTTTAGGGCCAAAGTATCTACTGTATCAGTACATGGACCCTATGGCCCAAGGGAGAGCAAGGGTTCTGTAAGGGCTCTACAACTAGACCCAAGAGTAACCTAGGAATAAAAAGGGTGCCCTTTTTGGTTTAAAGGGGCTTATAAGGGAACCTGAACCCTAAAAAAGGGAATAAGGGCCTACTCTGGGTCCTAAACTATGAGGGTTAAGACTCCACAGTCCCTGAACTCACAGTTTCTCTCGTGGCTTCCATGACTTTTCTTCCAGGGTTCTGCCGTGAACGAATCTCAATCATAGGGGCATCGCTGGGTCATAAGCCGTACCGTATATTACCTGAGTAAAGATTTCCGAATTTCGGAATCTCTGCACTCCTCTGAGTTATTGACGTTTTGGGGTTCAGTCCGCAAAACTTGTTTGTTTCAGTGTTCCTTTCCGGGCTCTAGACAGGCTCTCCACAACCCAAGTCCTTAAACCTCCCAAAACCGCAAACACGAGCTCCGAAACCCCCACACCCCCCAAATGCCGTGAGCCCTGAGTTCCTCTATGTCCCTGAAATCTCCAAAGCTGGGTTCTTGTTGAAAAGGTTTAACCTAAGCTACCAGAATAAAGAAACCATATTGTTAGATCCGTAGTATGGTAACTTAAACTATTACAGTCCTTAACAAGAACCCAGTCATTAATCCTTCGAGGAACTCTTATAGATCCTTGCTCGTTTAGACCCCTATTATGGTAACCTCAAGAACCCAGTATTGATCCCTAAACCCCACACCCTCTTAACCCTAACCCCTAATCCCTCATCCTTAAACCCTATTCTAATTATTAAGGCCCCTATACTATAGTACCCTTAAAGATCCCTTATACTAACCCTTATAGACCACTTTAAAGGAACCCTATTCTAATTTCTAAGGCCCCGGTATTAACCCTAAACCCTAAACCCTTAAACCCTAAATCTCTCTTTCATATAGTAATTTAAACCTTAATGGAATTCGTGGGACAGGCCCAAACGAATTCGTGGGACAGGCCCAAACGAAACTTTGTATTTCCCTGATGTTATGGGATTCTGAGGGTGGGTGGGTGTTATTCCTAAACCATAGACACAACACTACCTTAAAACCGCTCTCGATCCGGAGCTGCTGAACCCTAAACCCTAAACCCTAAACCCTAAAACCCTAAACCCTAAACCCTAAACCCTAAACCCTAAAACCCTAAACCCTAAACCCCAAACCCTAAAACCCTAAACCCTAAACCGTCGTTTCAGGCGGCGGGGGAGGGGCGGCGTCGAGGGAGGCTCCGGCGAAGGCTCTGGAGGCCCCATCTTAGGGCCGCCCCGGCCAACGCGGGAGGGAAACTGAAAGGTATGAGGGTTTAGGGTTTAGTTGGGACTGTAGGGCTTATGAGGGTTTAGGGTTTAGTTGAGGGTTGCTTAAAAAGCTATAATGCTGTAGGGTTTAGGGTTATGATAACGGTTAGTATTAGGGGTAACTGTAAGAAATTCTGTAACCGGGTTTGGGGGCTTTGGGTTTTGGGCTTTGGGACTTTCGGGCTCATAAGGGTTTAGGGCTACTACAAGGGTTACTGCAACGCTAACTGCAGGGGTACATTTTGTAGGTCTTTAGGGCTTTGGATCTTGGGGCTGATGGTTTAGGGTTGCTTCAAGCGTTAGTTTCAGGGTAATTCTAGGGGAGTCTATGAAGCTTTAAGGCTTTGGGTTTGTAGGCCGTTCGTTCACGGGTTTCTCACCCGATTTCTGTTAAGGGCTTAGGGGGTTTAGGGGTTGGGTGGTTCTTGGGGCTTTGGACTTCTGGGGTGAAGGATTTCTTGGCCATAGGTCTCTGGGTTTAGAGGCTTTATGGCCTTTATGGCTTGTTCCGTGAAGGCTCTTAGTCCTTCTACACGTTACTTAGGGCTGCGATGCTGCCTTCGAGAGGAGCTATCTATTCAGTATTTGCTGGGTTTCGTTACATCATCTCATGTCTTCTTATGCTGGGAGACCTGCATACTGTCGCGATCCTTTTCCAGGGGCTGAAGGTTTCGCCGTTCAAGTTGGGGAGCGGTGGGGGGGGGCCCTACCTGTAGGGAAGTGCTGCGAGCCGGAATATGTGGGAAAGCTGCACCAGCGGAGGCTACCGGTTCTCGGCCTTAATTTGTTTGGGCTGCGACACCTTGAGGTGTTGATGTTTTGGTGGTTTATTGTTTTGCAATTCAAGTTGCGACGAGGTCAGCGCAGCTTCGCACTTCCCGGGAGGCTCACTGAAATCAACTTGAAACCCCAAACCCTAAACCCTAAACCCTAAACCCTACTTCAGGCCGTAAAAATCAAGCCAACAACCCTCCAACCCGGAACCCTGCAACCGTGAAACCTGCACCCCGAACCCCAAACCCCTGTGAGCTATCATCATCCTGGTAAGGCACAGAAAGGCTCAGATTTTGGGGTTTGTGCTTCGGGCTACATATTTTGTTGCTTCCGGCTTGGTACGAAATCTCCAGTGCTAAAGATGTAGTGCCTCAGTAATTTAATGCAGGGTGTATGTACAAACAAACAAGCAAGCAAACAAACAACCAAACAACCAAGCAAGCAAACCAGCAAACACACACACACACGCACAAAACTGTTCCAAGGGCTTAAAGTGCTTGATAGGTCAATCACGCGCAGCTCGATCTCGTTATGAAACTGTGATGTTGCAGTAGATTGCGCATGCAGTATACCACGGTGCACCGGACCACATTGCCGGTGGCAAGCTGCCATAGAATGCCTACCTGCCAGTCTGCCTTCCTACCTACCGACCGACCTACCTACTACCTACTCACCTACCTACGAACTTGCCTAATTGCCCACAGCCCACCTACCTACCTTCCTTCCTGCCTACATACCTCGCTACCTACCTCACACATACATACATACATACATACATACATACATACATACATATGTACATACATATATGCGTCTGTGCATATTTTTCACATATATACACAAAGATACATGTGTACATACATCCTTGCTGTCAATATGTATGTGTAAGGCAGCACTGTATGTGTGCATATATATATATATACACATACATCTATATATATATATATATATATATATGGTGGAAGCCGGGAGGTTGGAACGTGTCCACTGGAGCAAATTGGCCCCAAGCCACAGGTTCCGACTTTGATCTTGGAGGCTAAAATTGGAACATGGTTGGTGTTGCCTCAAACCCTCCCTCCCAACCCGCCCCCCGCCCCCCCGGTTCCTAGGGTTGCGGTTTGCGTGTGGGGGTGGTTTCGTTTCAGGGTTTTTCAGGGTGGTTTAGGACACATCTGCCTAGGTCCCTATGCTATATTTTTGGGGAAACCGGGCATAGGGTTTAGGGTGCCTAGCCCCCCAAGTTTTAGGGGAAAGCGGGCACGTAGGGTTTAGGGCCCAGCGTTTACTGTATATTTTTTTGGGGTCCCCCAACCAGGGGAAGCTGGGCTTAGGGTTTAGGATAGTGCTAGGTTAGGTTGTTTCCCCTCCACAGGGTGCCCCCCCACCCTCCAAGCATAATGATGTCCATATCATCCATGGCCAACCTTGATGACATCCACAGACACTGGGTTTTCCGGCCGGTCCAGTCAGAATCAGAATGTTCCAACTTTGGAACATAATGCCGAAATTGGAACTTGCACGCGCTCGCTCATGGAGTGCTGAATGTTAGGGTGTGCATGTTCCAACTTTTTGGCGTCCACTGTATAGGTATGAACATGCACACACGCTATTATCAGTGCTTCGTGACGTGTTCTACTTTTTGAGATCTCTACTCATCAGTATCCTATCCTTCGAAACACACGCTGTGTTGTGCTCAAAGAAGACATGTTTGCGGCGTCTCTTCGTGACCATGATACCACAGTTCGTTGAGGCCTCCTGCTACCAGTATCGTTGCTACACTACGGTGACCACAAACTGCAAAAAAAGCTCCACGCAAGTACTAATGAGGCTGCGAACCGCAATGTCGCCTTGTTTTCAACCATGCTACTTCCTCGTCTCGCTGCTGCTTGGAAATGGCCCGAGCAGCGTGAACCTGTGCCTCTGCCCTTTCTGCATCCATCAATGAAATCGGCTGGATAACAGGCTTCGGGTAGTCCACGCCATAGCGAAAGGAGCGTGCAGTTGCTCCAGCTCTTGGCACAAGACGAGCAGGGAAGAGGCCAGTCAACTTTGGAAGGAGAAATGAGACCAGCCTTCGCCAGAGCTGAAGTCCTGGGAAGGAAGTGTCACCAGAGTGCTCTTCGTTTCCTTGCTGTCTTGTCCCACCTTCCTGCACTACAGGCGGAGCCTGGAATCCCCGTAAAAAGGGCATCTTTCGAAGGCTCGTCGACTTTGACGCCCATCGGATGCCCTCTGGATGTAGACGCCATGGCTCCCTTGCAAGAAGTGGCGGTAGCTCTGCCAGCTCCGGGATCCATCGTTTGATGTAAGCGGCATCGGGGTCATGCACAATTCCGGCCTCCAATATTTCCCGGCACTGCTGCTGCCCTCGCGCTTGGGCTTTATGAGGGTTGATAGGTTCCAGGCAACCATAAACCCAGTTGAACCAGTTCAAAGCTGGCTCATAATCTACAAGTATGGACTCGTACCACTCTCCTCCCATCCGCCAGTCGAGTCCTAAGTCAGAGATAAGAAACCATCCAGTGCACAAGCGGCCGATGTGCTTGCAATAGCCGGTGGCCTTGAGCTCTCGCATGGAGCTGTCGATGAATGGGAAACCTATACTGAACTTAGAACCCTAGCAAAAATCATAATTTTAGCTGTTTCTTAGGGATCATAATAACTAAAAATCAAAAATTATTTCTAAGTACCCCTAAGAAACCTGTACGTCCATCAATCCAAGCTTCCAGCAAGCCTCGATCTGAGGACCAGTGCCACGATGGAAGATGTTGGGGATTACTTCGGCTCTCGGAATTCTGACGAATAGTTTTATCTCGGCCACCAATCTTAAAGATGTTGGTACCTGCCTCGATGCTCCCAAAGCGTGTAAAATCGCGCCAGAGCAGTTCACGCACGATGCGATGCGAGACATTGTACGGGTTTCTGATCCCAATACCCGAATGTGTATATTCTTGCTTTGCTCGACCAGTAGAAAGCAATTTCTGTCGGTATGCCGACACGTAACGCGTGACCTCCTCGTAGAGCAGTCTCGGAGACAGACATCCATGAGCAAGCCAGGGTGACAACTTCGAAGTAGCTTCGTCATCCAAAGGGCTTCTGTACAAGCTTCGCACCTGATTTTCTGTTTGGGATCCTCTGGGCTTGGATTTATCAAAGGGGAAAAGGAGGGACCCTTAATGGGGACCCCTACCCTGTAATGGGCTATATAATGGGTATATAACAGCTATGTTAAGGGTATATACCTAGGGGTCCTTGTTCAGGGTCCCTCCTTTTACCCTTGGATTTTAGGCTAAGGGGATAAGATGGGATAAGCCACTCACCCGTGCTCTTCTCATGGGCTCAAGGCCTGTATTCTTGGTCTGGGACAACACGGTGACAACACGGAAGGCCTGCTAATGACTCTACGACCCTAAACACCAAAGAAACTCTGACGAAGACCCTGCAAATCTGCTAGTTAGAACCCAGTCACCGATGTTGCTCCGACATAATCCAGTGCAAGCCGGTCGTGATCCCACAAGTACTCCTGTACCCGCGCAAGGGCCGCAGTCTCCCCTCCTTGCCAAGCAGACTCCTTTCCCAGATCCTCGGCCACCAAGTAATTACTTCCCATGACCTCATCTGCCTGTGGAATGGCTTTGCTTGCTCGCCACCAGTGGATGGCCTTCTCGGGACCAGTTACGAAATCAGGCTCTTGCTGAGCAGATGGCCTCGGAGATACACCTGGCGCTCTCAGAAAACAAGTGCTTCCTGCTTTGGGGATCTCTATACTGTTCATACTCAGGGTCCCACCACATCATGTAGACCCCTGATGCAAAAAACACCTGAACATTGGAGGATAAAGCGATGTGAAGATTAAGGTTCGTGGAGAAAGGGGTTCGAGAGTCTACATTATGTCTATTGTTTCGGGCTGGCAACCATAATATGTCAGAGCCCTACTTTGTATCTGTGTCTATATCCACACCTATACCCGCGTCTATGTGAATGTCTCTGTTTATATCTGTCTACATAGTTTATACACGCATACTCACATACATGCGGAAATTTACATACACGCATACATCTGTATAAACGTATTAGTTTACTGTGTTATTTTGTCCGTTGGTTCGTTCATTTGCTTGTACATGTGTGTGTGTATCCATAAACGTATGTGTATATATATATATATATACATATACATATATATATATATATATATACATGCATACGCACATATGCTTATACACACCTACACACATTCATGCGAACACACACACACACACACACATATATATATATATATATATATATATATATATATATATGACTGGTTACTGATTGGTGTATCTATTATTTCATGCGCGTACTTATGCATATGTGTATATGTATACACGCATGTGTGTATACACAGACATACATACATATATCTATATATATATATATATATATACATGTGCAGATTCGATTGTACATAATTACATGCATGCAAACATACATGGCGCATGCATACATGCAGACATACATGCTCATATACGCATATAAAGCCAAACTCATGGTCCACCTTACGAATCCCGATTTGTCTTGGCACTCCCACCTTTGACGCGACCGAGAAAGACCTCGATCTCCTTCTTCAAGGTATTTGGGGCTTATCAGGCCCATAAATAAAATAGGGGTCAAATTTAGGAGAAGCGTTTAGGGTACGGCGACTTCTCAGGCTAATAGAATAGGATTTAGGGTTTCGGGCTATAGGGCCTAAAAGGCCGTTTTGTAGGGTTTAGGTTACAGGACTCAAGAGGGTTTCGAAATAATCCGGTTTTTGGGCTTCAGGCCTATGTGGTAGAGATTTTAAGGGGCACACTTACCTTAGGTTAGCAGGGAATGGAGGAATGGGCTACAGTTATAACTACTATTACTACCATTCTTCCATTCCCCACTAACCAAAGGTAAGTAATGGGTTTAGCGGTTGATGTCCTTGAAAGCTGCCCGGTCTTTCGTATCGAACGGGAGGTCATCAGGGTGAAGCAGCCTGGGTTCTTCTTAACGAGTTGAATTTAAGTTACTGCTACCATAACAGGGACTTATAGTGTTCCTTAAGAGACTTATAAGGGTTCCTTTAAGAGTGTAGGGTTTAAGGTTGTTAGGGAATTTAATGCAAGTTATCATGCTTTAGGGTTTCATTGAGGGTTCTATAAGAGGTTCGGCCTTAAGGAGTCTAATTTAGGATACCATAGTAGGGATCTATAGTGGCATGATGGTTCCCTCTTTATGAAAAGCTTAAATTAAATCCTTTAAGAACGAGAACCCAGCAGCTCGTACCCCCAGTAAAGTCGCAGAGGACTTGGCCCATTCTGACGCAGCACATGCTGAACCTCTCGCTGAATCTGCAGCTCTTCGCTGCAAACTTCATGGAATGCGAAGACGGCGTTGATCCTGGGCTTGTATTTTTAAGTAACCAGGGAGATAAAAGTATATAAACTTGTATTTCATAACGGTTCCTTTAAGCAAAGAAGTATTAACTAGGATGCCCAGTAACCTGGGAATAGAAAGGGCTCCCGTTTTTTGTATTGGCTAACTTTATAGGGAACCTAGGACTACAAAAAGAGAACAAGGGTAGTACTGGGCATGCTAGTTACCCAAAGGCTCCATGTACCCATACAGTAGGTACTCAGGCCTTGAAGTACCGTTAAAGGGACCCCTTTAAGGCCTAAGTAGCTGCTATATGGGTACATGGAGCCCCAGGGTTAAAGTATGGTACTCCAAAGCAGAGGATCCTATAGTCTTTGCTAAGCTCCCTGAAACACTCGGCGGTGGATACGTTCGTGCGCACGTTGAGTCGATGGCCTCTGGATTCCAGCCTGCTTTGAAGGTCCTCCAAAGCCTCCAATTGAAATCGAGTTCTCAAGACTCCAGTTTTGGGGAAGCCGCACAGACGGGTCTTGCCCTCGTACCAGACAGGATCGAAAACATAGAGATGCAACACCGGCAGCTTGTCTGAATGGGCTGCCTTGAGCGCAGCATGGTCATGCGTCCGTAGATCCGTGCACTTAAACCAGACGACGTTGATAAGTGGCTTGGACGCTCCCAAAGCACAAACGCATGGCAGATAAAGGGCCCAGAAGATCGCCGACATCGTTGGGCTTGGGCGACTTCGGGAAGCTTGCCTTATCATGCTGCAATCTGCACTGTGCATGGGAACTCACACACAACCATGATGATGAATTCAAGCCCAACCCCACCCTGCGCTGCCCTAACCTACAGTACCATACTGATCTCTAGCATCCGCTGTTCTACTCCATTCTGTGAATTAGCTTCCTATCATGCTGGCGGTCATTCTTCTGAAGCGGCCGCAAGTCCTTTGAGCCGACGGGCTTTGCAAGATCTCGGTTTAGGGTCTAGGATTTAGGGGTTTAACGGGATTAGGGGTCTAGGGGTTTAGGGTTTAGGGGTTTAGGGCTCCATGGCTCGGGCCTGGAAAACCCTAGAGTTCCCAACAATCCCGTCCTCGAAACTAATTTGCTTCAGCAACTTTGAACCCTATACCGTAAACGTCTTCTAGGAGTCTTAGTCGTAGTTGCTGAGTTCACAAGCCCCCAACAGTGTACACTTTCAGCTTAATCGTTGGTAATCTTATCCCGAAAAGTGTAAAGTGTATCCACTCAGCTACTAATTAGTCTTGTTGGGATCCCCGTATCTAGCCCTAAACCCTAAACCCTAAAAGGGTGTCGGGGCTCTCCAGGAGAGCCGTGGTAGACTGCTGTGCTTCTCAACTCACAAGTTTCGCCCGACCGGGGGCGTCATGAAGAAATCTAGGGGCCTGGATTAGAACTTTAGGATATGGCCGATAGGGTTTAGGATTGAGCGGTTTGGGGTTCTCCAGCCCCAACCCTAAGCCCGAAACAGGCTGTGAAAGCGCACGTCTGTAGCCCTCGAAAGCCTTTGGAAGCCTCTTCAGTCTCTGCCCAAAGCTTGCTGGGCCCAGTTTTGTCGTAATATGGCACCTATAACCTATACCCAGAGGCCCCATAGTAGTTCCTTTTTGGGATTACCTTATAGGATTCTATATATGAACCCCAAAAAGGAACTACTTTGGAGCCTTTGGGTAACGCTTAGTCGGGCTCAGTTCAGGAGTCCAGGAGAACAGGCCCCAAGCAAAAACCCGAAACCGTAAACTCTAGACCTGACCTAGACACCGTCACCTCAAGTACCCTCTCATATACCCCAAATACCCACTGTAAAGGACCATAAGAGCTGTATTAAAGGGTACTTGCGGGGTCTAGGTAAACCCCTAAAGCCCTCAGGCCCCCCCAAACACTAAGGCCTGTGAAACCGGAACCCTGCCGAGGGCCGCAACTTCTCTTTGACACCTGTCGCCTGGGACCGCAGCTGGTGGGAGAGACTTGCGGCTTTCCTTTTCCACTGAGGCTGTCTAGGCAAGGGCTGTAATGCTCGGAGGACGGCACACTCCAATTCGCAAAAATCCTAAATCCGACATAGACCTACACCCGACATGCTAGACCGTTACACGCTGAACGGCTGAATCCAGGAACCTTAACCTTGCATGACACCGGGCCGTGAGGAGCACAAGGACAAAGCAGCGGGAAGCAGGGTTTAGGGTTTTTCGGGATTTACATTTACAATTCGGGATGTAGGGCTTGGGGGTCTATAGAGTTCAGAGTTTTAGGCTGAAGGTTTACTTTCAGGGTTAAGGCGGGCATTTCATGGGCCCTTCACCATAGCATGCTAGGTGGTTCAACTACATCCCAATACACCCTTGGTTGCGCCGTTTTGCTGAACTACCACAAGTCACAGCATCTTCAATGTCCAGCTATATGGAATAGTCGGAATAGGTTGCTGCTGAGCCCTATATACATTCGCGACAAACCCCCGAACATGAAACCCAAGATCACCAACATCCCAAGTCCCCTTACTTCACACGAAGTCCGGATTGCAGCTGGTTCCTGGCTTTCTTCACAAACAATCCTCTGTAGGTAGGCCATCCGCACAGCTAGGCTAAGTAGGTTGGTGAAAATTGGGAGTTTCCGAAATTAGGGGTACCTTATCTTGGGTTCTTATAATAAGGATCCTACAATTCAGGGTACTATATTAGGGTCCCCTATTTTCGGAAACTCCCATATAGGCACTACCTGAGGAACAGTACCCTACTGTATGGCATAAGGCCTTAGTAGTTGAAATAGGGTTTGGGGTAGTGCACTTTACTGTGGCTGGGGCCAAGACAAGGATATCACTGACAATTTACCAGCCATCTGAGACGTAGAGTGGTAACTGCAATATCGATACTATATGGCCTATGTACGGTCTATGGCGATCTACTAACATAGGGGGGGGCTTGATCCAAATAGGGTTTTGGGGTGTAACATAGGAAAGCAAAATGACACCCGCATTACATCAGAATGCTTTTTCTGATTTTCGCGGTCAAGGATCGTGGGGGGTTGAGTCTTTGTTGTTTACGGCTTTCTCTACCCCGTACTTACCCGAACCACGGATCCCGTTCGCCCGCTTGTCTGTCTCGATCGCACATTATTCAGGGACCTTGCCTGCTTCTTTTTTGCGGAAATCCCCGCAGGTCCGAGGGACGAGGCATCGCGCATTCCCATTTGATGGCTCATATGTCCCAAACTCATAAGGTTTAAGCTGGAGATTTCGCGCGTAAGGGCTTTAGGATTCTCGGGTTGAGGGCTTCGTGATGGAATTAGGAGATACGGGCGGCTCAACACTGGAGGGTCAGGGACAGTCAACTCGGACCTGCCGGCGTCTTCTGGCAACCATCGACAGGCATTTGCCTTAAAGATCAGCTTCCTAAGCCCCAAATCCTTCTCCTACCCCATGGCTGAGCATGATTTGTAATTCATATGATTCTCAAAGGTACGGGCGTATAGGTTTATTGGGCTATTCGGATACATCCCAGCAAGTGCTAGTCATGCTAGTCTATCTACTCAATATTCGGACTCTCCATTTCTACAAGCCCCGCTCTAAAAAGAGGCCTCTAAGCTCCTACCAAAGCCCTTCAAGAGCGGCTGTCACGGCGCCGGCGTCGCCGTCCAGAACGGCTGCGACTGCGGTCTCGGCGCCTTCTTGCTGGGATCGGGGGACAGCCCTAAGGGATCAGGGGACTTAGGGTTCCTTAAGGGCTCCTTAAAGGGATCTATAGGGTTCCTTAAAGGGATCTATAGGGTTTAGGGTTTAGGGTCTACTTAGAGGATCAGGGGACTTAGTAAGTAGGTTATAACTGGGTTATAAGTCCCCTAACTGGGGTTACCCTATAACCTACTTATAACCTTACTTACTAAGTCCCATGAGCCTTCAAGTGGGTGAGTTTCAGGGAGGGTGTCGAGAGTTTAGGGTTTACTGGTGTAAGATAGACTTAGAGTTTAGGGGATTTTCACTGCTGAGGGTCAGATAGATCCTAGTACATACTATATTCCTTAAGGTACTTGACAACTAGACTATAATGAAGTTGCCCAGCGTCAACCTAAGCTACTTGAAGGCTCATGGGACTTAGTAAGTAAGGTTATAAGGTTATAATTAGGATAACCCCAGGTAGGGGACTTATAACCCCAGTTATAACCTACTTACTAAGTCCCATGATCCTCTAAGTAGTGAGGTGAAGGCCCAGGGTTCGGTTAGGGGTCGTCTGCGGTGCTGCTGATCCCAGAGACTCCAATATCCCTTAATTAAGGAATAGTCCTGAAATTATGGTAGGATCTCTTCTATGATTTAAGGTATATTCCTTAATTAAGGGATATTGGAGTCTCTGGGGTGCTAGGCTTCCAGCGTCATGGGCAGTCGGGGTTATTAGGGGGCTTGGGGTCTAGTCAATCCTTGTTCTTAGACTAGATTAGGGAGTTTCATAAAATTAGGGGTACCTTATTTTGGGGTCCTTATAATAAGGATCCTACTATTTGGGGTACTGTATTAAGGGTCCCCTATTTTCGGAAACCCCCATTAGACCCAGACCCTACACCGCACAACGGACCCTAACGTAGCCCTTAAGCATACGAAGCCCTAACTGCACAATTCCGAAAACCAAAACCCCAACCCGCAATGAATGGTCTCTACGGGCATGAGCCCTGAAACTCGCCATTCTTAAGTATCCCTACCCTTCTCATTCTTATCTCATTACAACTACTGATTTTGTCTGTTGATTGTGATTGTTATCATATGAGTAATTACTACTATGCACGATGGTTATAGTCTAACTAGTATCATTTAAGTATTGTTGTTGCGATGACCATCAGTGCTACTATTTAGAAACCTCTCGTCCGGCGGCCTGGCCCGCCTCAAACTTTAACATTTCTAGCAGGGGTCCGTTCTTGAGACCTTTTGAACTTTCTATGCGGAGATGTGAGGGTTTTGCAGGGTTTAGTATTTTCCTAATGATTAGAGTAGGGTTTTGCTGTAGATTAAGGACCCTATTTCTGTAGAAGTTGAGGGTGTTGAGGCTCACGATTTGCAATTCGGGCTTTGGGCTGTAGTGTGGGGGTTGGAAGGCTGAGAGTGAACGGCTTATGGGGCTTCTCAGACTGACCGGCGCGCGAGTTTGAGGGTTCGAAGTTGCTGGTATTGCTGCTGTCATGGCAACAAAGATGCACGACCTGCTCGAGAATGGCAATCGCTGCAATTCAGCTGCGAAGCCGTTTTCAAGCCCTCAAGCCAAGATTCTAGTATAGGGGTCTGAAAATTAGCAACAATATCCCCTGACAGTCCTCTTTCATACAGTGAACCTAACAAGCAAACCCTGTTGTAAAAATCACATCTCCTGTCTTGCTTCGATCTAAACGCCCAAACCACTGAGACCTTGCACCGCAAATGCTAGACCCCAAGCCCCATAAACGCTCAACCCATATTCCCGACGTTACCACCCTAAACCCTAAACCCCTTAACCCTAAACCCCAAACTCTACACTCTAAACCATCATTACCAGCCACCAGCCGTCTCGTGCCTGCTTCGACTCCGCCGACGCTCGGATCGACCCCGAGTTGGACTGGGGCTGCCTCATGTGTTTAGGGTTGGGTACAGCCCCCATACAGTAACAGTCTATAATAGGGCTACTAGTAAGGTTACAGTATGGTACGCCCTGGCGGCGTGTATTTTCGCGTGTTCATGTTTTCA